GTATATATTATTACCTCTAATCAAAAATTACATCAAAATGTTTTATCTTGTTGATAAAAAAATAGAGGGAATTAAATATAGCATCATTATTATATATAGTTATGAAAATGTATATATTGGGTTATTATTTTTAAAGATGACTTTAATATTGAAGAATGGAATTGTTTTTATTGAATCTTTTAATTTCAATGATAAAATGTATTGAAATTTATTATTATAATTTTTAAGTTAAATTTGTATTTGACTTATATATTTTAAGTCAATTGTTTTATTTTTTGTGTTATTTATTAAAAACAATTTTTTTTATTTAATATTCTTATTATTATTATACTTATACGCAATATATTATATTATAAACAATTAAAATGAAATTTATTAAATTAAATAATTCAAACACAATAGAGTATTTAAAAAATCTAGTTTAACAAATAAAATAAACGAAACTTTTATTGACTAAAACTACTTTATTTTGAACAATAAAACGTATACCTACTTTATTAAGATCGAGTCTACCTCATATTTGGTTTGTTCTTAAGAAATGCTCAAATAATATAGAACAACAAAAATAACAATTACACACATTAGGGAAATTATACTGTATTTATAATTGAATTTGAAATGTTATGGTTATTTTATTCGACAAATCTTAATAAAGCTTTATTGTTTGTGATCACTTAAAATGTTGGTGATGATCATGATCGTGTGATAGTTTTTATTATATTTGTTTTTTCATAGCTTTCTTATTCTTTAAATAGCGTGTTTGGTTTTTCGTTTTGCTTCTAATTATTGAATTTTTGATATAATTTAATTATAAAAAAGCAATTAATTAGTTCAGGTTATAGTTCAAATATTATTTTTATTGGACTATAAGTTTTACCATTTACCCCAAACTAGTCTTTTAAGTCAAACTTGTCGTAGTGTATGTCTTTATTAAACCGTCGCTATACAATATTCCTTTTTGATTTAAAAAATGAATAATATCATACAAATTTGAGTGTTTTTATTCATTTAATAAATCAAAAAGGAATAAATTTTGATTTCCATGTAATTTAGAAATACAAACTTTATAATGCTATCATTAAACATATATTTTCAAATTATGTGTTTGATTTGTTTTTATTATATTTTTACTTGATTATTATCGTTAACACAATTTATATGTTTTAATAAAAAACATTTAATAAAATTGGATGAAAAACAGTTTCACATCATTGTCTTGTTATAATTAGTAAATTGATATGTGGTTTTCTGAAGAAAAAAGTTTTTTATATGATATAATTTAAACACTTCAAAACGATTTGAGTCACCAATCGTAGTAATAATTATTATAATTAAAAGATGGTTAATTACCACAAAACTAAATTAATTAGTTGTGATCAAGTATTATCACCCTATTGTGGTTTTAAGTGTTGTTATTTCTAAACATTATGAGATTTAAAGGTTTTAAACATAATAATCCATTTTAAATAAAGTTTATATTATCATTTGTATTACCGTTTTTTAATTTTAATTATCACCAAGATAATGCTATGTTCAATTGATTGAAATATTTAATAAAGTATTCCAATCAATTAAGGCTATATTAAATTTCGGCCTACCTCAAATTAAGATTATTAAAACAGTTTTTAATTATTCCTATTTGATTTAAAAAATGAATAAAATCATTCAAAATTTAAGTGTTTTTATTCATTTTTGATATCTAAAAGAAATATTTAAGGTATTCAAAAAATTTGTAAAAAGTTATGTAGAGTCAGTCGATAAACGTTGTCTTTTTGACAAAAAATAATTGATTTTTGTTTAAAAAACGGGAATAATGTAAAAATGAAAAAACTAGGAAAAATATTGAAACAACGATTTTTTGGTTTTTCAAAAAAATTCCTAAAATATTCCATTTAAAATGGTCTAAAAATCGGCAGACAACGTTTATCAAATGACTCTATATAATTTTCAGTCTTTTTTAAAACAGTTTAAAATTATTTCAAATTAAAGTTTTAAAGCTCTTGATTTCGTATATTTTCGAATTAATCATATTGGCAAGGTCATTGTTATGTTTTTCCCTTTAAAGAATACATAATTTATTAATTATTTTATTAGATGTAGTTTACTAAATAAATTTAGTTTGAATGGTGTTAATTTTAATTGGATATATTATATTTATTTCATAAATTGTTTTTTCTGTATCATCATTTAAATTAAAATATATCAATGATATAATATCATTATATTTTATATATTTATAATAAATATATAAATTATATATATAATATAACTCATTTTAATATATATGTATATTCAAAAATTAATATTTAAATAAATTCAAAATATATTAATTTGTTATTATTATTATATAAACATAATATTTTTTTTGTATATAATATAATATACTATTTACAATAAACTATTACAAGTTGAGAACTGGTTCTTATGGGATTATTTAATAGGATTAATATATGCTTAAAATCGGGATAATTCTACCTTTTCTTTTGATTTTTTATATAATAGGGTGTCTTATTTGGTCGTTTTTCCCGACTAATTAAACTTAATATACGAAATAAAACACTAAATTAAAAATTATATTATTTTTTGATTGAAAAATATTTAATAGTATAATTTTATAGTAACTTAACTATGTTTGAATTAATTAATTTGTTAAAATAAAGGAAAAATTGATGTTTGAAAAAAAAACAAAAATTTTCTTTTTTTTTGTCAAATAATTTGGTCATAATTTTCTTTTTTTCAATTTAATGCTAATATTTTTAATTTAAGGATGCACTTTTGGCAAATTGTCAGGATTTAACAGGGGACTTGCCTAACCTTGTTTGAACCCAAATTGTATTATAACATTAATTAAATGTGTGGGTGGCTCATGATTTTTTTTAAAGATAAAACATATTAAATTATTATAACTTCTAAAAATTATCTTTTCGTTCGTTTCGAAATAATCGTTTTTTAATAGTATCATGGTATTCAATTCTGTTGTTTATATAAGAAAAATATTTATACATACAATTAATTAACACATAAAAACCGAATTTGTTCTCTAATATATTTTAATTGTATTTTGAAAACCAGACAAATAAATATTTTTTGGTTCAACAAAAACAATAAAAATAAACTATAATATAAAAGTTTTGTTCTAATTTTAGAGAGAAGACACTGACTAACAATTCGCGACAAAAAAGTATCTTATAAAGAAGAAAACAACATAATAATCAATGGAGACTCCTTTTATTGCAAACGTTGAAGAATTTGAAAAAAAGAAAGAAGAAAATAATTTAGTTGTTTACTTTTGTGCAAAATGGTGTGGCCCTTGTTGTGCATTTCAACCAATATTTGATGAAATAGTTTCAACTAGTCATTCTGGAAAGACTTTTGTTAAAGTTGATGCTGATGATGGCGAAGAAATTTTATTAAAATATGATGTCAGTTGTGTACCAACGTTTATATTGTTCAAAGATAACGTGGAAGTCAAGAGATTAAATGGAACAAACAGAAAAGAGGTGGAAGAATTATTTGAGTTATTTTAATAATTTAATGTTCAAAAAAAAATTTTGTTGGTTTTGTTTTGTATTGACATAAATATTTATAAATGAATAGACTTTGTTGATTTAATTATGAAATCGAAAAAATACAAATGAAAGTAACATGAACAATTTTTTAACTTCTGTATAATTAAAATTTCATCTAGAGTCAGTTTTTTTAAGTTATCTAGTGGACAAAAATAGCTTTAATTTTGTCTAAAAATCGGGAAATGGGTAAAACTTAATAAAACTTAAAACAATTGGGATGGATTTTTGGGACGGCTTCCCGAAATATACATATTTTAATCGTTCAAAAGGTACCAGATAACATTTAAAGACTGACTGTATTTAAATATCAAATTCCATTTAACAATTAAAGTCGTCATTTAATTTAAGATTGATAATTTATTTTAAAAACATATATAATCAAATAAATTTAAGTATTATTTTTATTAAATATAACGGAAACAGAAACTTTTAATCAACTGAACAATATCACAATGATTATTATTGACAAAAATAACAGATAGCAACATGAATTCATAAAATGTTATAATGTTTGAAATTAATAACTAATAATAAAAACATTATACAACATAAATTACCCTATTAATCCATATTTTTATATTTAAACAACTAATAAAGTGTTTTAAAAAATACACAAATATGTTTTTTAAGGTGACATAATTTGAATATAATTGTGTCACAATAAAAGTTGTAATAAGTAAATCAAAATATTTTAATTTTTACAAAAACAATAAATATGTCTTTAAAAACTTTCCAAAATACTAACTATATAAAAGGTTATGGTATTACTTTGATATTCCTCAAATAAACAACTTTAAAAGATTTTTATTTTTTTTAAAAATGATTAATTTATTTTACAAACACCACAGTTTTTTTTAAACAACACTTTATATAGTTATATAGTAACTAAACGAAAATTGTTAATTAACAATACAATCTTGAAATATCTATTTATTGTTATATATGGGACGACTTGATAGATACCATATTATTGTTGTTACGACTTACTTCAACACTTTAGAAGACTTTGTTGAGATCACTTTAGTGTGTAAAAAATATAAACAAATAACAGAAGAGTTTCATTTCAATCCATTTCCTCTTACTCGTAAAACAATTTTTTATTTTCCAAATATAGAGACATTACATCTTTGGAAGTTAAATCATGAACATTTTGGTAATGATATAACAATCAAAAAAACTTCTAAAAAGATATGTAAAATGGATTCAAAGCGGAACAAAATGTTTTTCAAAATAATTGTATGGTACCCAGTGACTTTTAAAGTCTCAAAAACACTTGAAAACACAAACTTTGTGTTCAAAAATGTTTTGTACACACTGAAAGACCGAAAAAGCAATGGCTTTACAATACCTAATGAAGTCAATTGTTTGTCTGACTATTGTTTTTGTGGATGCAACTTATTGGCAAATATTATTATTCCACAAAAAGTTACTTCTTTGGGCAATTCATGTTTCCATGATTGTAGATTACTCTCCAAAATAATATTGCCTATTAACATCAAATCACTTGGTCAATACTGCTTTAGTCATTGTTATTCATTGACATCAATTGATATACCAAAAGATGTTACATATGTAGGACCACATTGTTTTGAGTTTTGTGCCAATTTGGAAATGTGCAGATTTCTTGGGACAGTGAGTGACATTGGGGACAACTGTTTTGTGTTTTGTGAGAAACTTAGAGAAGTTGAAATTTCAGTGGAAATAAAAAATGATTTTTTTAAGAATAATTTTGGAAAACACACAACGTTTAAAGTCAGAATACACACAACGCCAAGAGATGGAGTTGAAATTGAAAAATTTGAAATTGAAAACAAAAAAGAAGTTATTGAAAAATTCAAAGAAAAAATAAAAAATAAAATGATGGTAAATTGTAAAATCGTTTATATTTGATTTTAAACATTGTTTATGTTTATGTAATATATGACATTTAATATTACTTTATATGATCATAAATGTTTGATATTAAAGATATCTAAAAATTCAATAATTTTTAGTTTAAAAACAATAATAATATTTTATGTTCACAATCGAAACAATCTTATAAAGCTTTTAAAAATGAGCATATAATTATGTAAACTTTAGTACAGTATATATTCAATAAATGTCCAGTCTATGTTCCAGTCTTATTCGATATAAGGTCAAATAATAAAAACTTGAATAATTAACAAAAAATACCACATTTTGTTTTTTGTCTCAACAAAATTCCAAATTATATTTTCACCCAAAAAATATTTTTGCCTTTTTTTATAAAATTTTTGTGATTTATAATATGAAAAACAAATGCTTTATTTTATTAGTGTTTATTAATACACAAAACGTCCGTTATAGAATCAAAATATTGACAACAACATAAACAGTATTTAAACTGAACACATGAAAAGCAATATGACAACTCTTGGTTTAAAAATGAACATGCGTTGTTTTGTCATAATTTAACACGCTCCAACGACACGTTAATAAACATTATTTCGGTTTTAGATGAAAAACTCATTTGCTTTTATAATAATTTTAAAAATATTTTGATTTTTTTTCAACTTAATGACAATTTGGTTTATGTATTACCATCTTAAGGTTTTAGACAAGAAATAATAAAAATAGCAAAAAAAGAAATTGTTGTTTTTTGATTTTTTTTTAATATTCGATAAGAAACCTCCCTCTTATTTTTTG